AGGGCTATGATTCCACAGCTAGGGATCAGTGCTGATTTTCCGAAGTTCGTTCGCGGCGGAGACAAATGTCGATGCATTGTCTAACACGATGAGAGTGGGCGTTGATCTACGTGCCGCGAATCGACGCAAGGCTTGAAGAAATGACTCTGTAGAAAGATCTCTGACCAGTTCTAAATGGACAGCCCGTGACACCGTGCAGGTAAACAAACAAATGTACACCATTACTATTGACTGTGTAATGGTGTCTTTGACAAGCAAATGTCCGGTGTAGTCAATTCCAATCGTAGAGAATGGCACGGTTTGTTGTACTCTAAATTTGGGTAAAGGCGCCAGTATTGGTTTTGAGTATGCTGACCCGTCCACACGTTTACAAACCACGCAGCGATGAATGACAGCTTTCACGAAGCGTCGCATTGATGTAATCCAGTAGTTTTCGCGTAGTCTTGAAGTTGTAGCGTTGGTTCCGGCATGCTGAAGTCAGACGTGTGCGTCGCGAATAACTAAAGTAGTATATTGATGTTTACCGGGTAGGAGTAGTGGATGTATCGTGTTTATTGGTAAATTCGCGTTTTGTATGCGACCACCGGCTCTGATCAGTTGATTGTCATCCACAAATAACTTGAGTTGTTTACGGAGAGCGCCGAGATGCGAGTTATTTTTGACAAGACAGTCAATGAGTTCCCCGTAATATTGACGTTTAATGGATTTAATCCACAGTTGTTCGGCTGTTATCATCTCGTTGGCGTCAGGCGTTGATTTTTGGGCGCTGTTCTCTGTATCAGAGACGATTGGCGCGTTCAAGTTGAGTCGAGTTTTAAGAACTTTGATAAATCTCAAAACATAAGCTGTTACACGCATTAAATGTGACAAATTGCGGTAAGAGTCAATATGAAATACTGCGTCGGCGTTGAAACTTGCTACTTTGGGTATCACTTTGGGTTCGGCAGAGTTAACTTTGAAATGTTCGCTTATTGTGGCCGACTCGAAGTGAGCGGTGATTTCATCTCGATCAAAATTGGGTGAAGTCGTAACCGCGTGTAGTACATTTGATTCAGACGAGGTGATTTCTGATGTAGTATTATGTTTCACATGGCGATTAGATTTCTGTTTAGCGGGTTCAAATAAATCGCATATTGGCCAGTTGTCTTTATTTGTCAACCATTTGGGTCCTTGCCACCAGTACTTGGAAATAATCAGTTCTGTCGGTGAAACGCCTCTAGTGACTAGATCGGCCGGGTTTTCTGTGGTGTTGACATAACGGTGTTCTTGGGGAAAGACGTTGATTTCGGTGACTATTTCGTGTGAAAGTATCTTGTTTGCCTCGTCCGTTGAGCCAATGAAGAGTTATCTGGCTGTCACACCATAATACATATTTCAATATAGAATATTTCTGAGCGAGTGCCTCACCAACAAATTGAGCAAGTCGGGTACCAATTAGGACTCCCATCAGTTCCAAACGTGGAAGTGTCAACTTTTGTTTGCTTATAGGCGCTATGCGTGTCTTTGCGATGGCTAAGGCGGATTCCTTATCGGACACCAAATACACGGCTGCTCCGTAGGCCTTTGTTGACGCGTCGGTGAAAGTGTGTGTTTCGACGTTGGTTGGCTTATCAGCAAAATACTTGCGGTTCATTTTGTAGTCGGTTATTGTCCGCAGATCTTCGGCAGTGTTTTGCCATATCGGTAATAATTCTGACTCGATCGGTTTATCCCAACTATGATTAGTCAACCATAACTGTTGAATTATGAGTTTTGCACGGACTTGAATTGGTGAGTAATATCCCAGGGGGTCGTATAAGCTAGCACAGTAGGCTACGATATCGCGCTTAGAAGTTAACGGTCCAAATGATGGAGCGCGTAGTTGTTTGGCTTGTAGGACGTCGTCCGCGGAATTCCATTTGATTCCTAGAATTGAAACGTCGTCTTTGGGGTTTGCTCGACCGTCGGTTTCGATGATTTGTTTCAGTAATGGATCGCTCGTATTCCATTGTCTGAGATTGAATTTCTTGGTAGAGAGAATACGTTGAGATTCATCGTAGAATTGCATCGCCTCTTGTATGGTTGCACTGCCCGTGACGACGACATCTACATAAATATCCCGTTGTAAAACTTGAGCGGCAGTTTTCGAAATGTGTTCTGTAGTTAGATGTCTAAGTGCGGCGTTCAAAATAAAAGGTGAGCATGTAGCGCCGAATAAAACCGATCTAAATTGATAAGTTGCGAATGAACTGTTGATATCGGCTGGGTCTGTTAACCACAGAAATTTGGTATAACAGCGGTGAGATTCGTGTAGCTTGATTTGCAAAAACGCCTTCTCAATATCAGCCGTTACTGCAATGGGATTTGACCGAAATCTAAGTAAAATCGATGTCAATGAATTGAGTAGCGGCGGTCCAGTGTCCAAACATTGGTTGAGGCTTGGTTGGTTTTTACTTGCCGCGGAACAGTCATATACTATTCGAATGGGTGTCGCCCAGGGGGTGTCGACACGCTGTTCTTTTTGACTGATCGATGTGGCAGGTAATGCCCAGTATTTGAATCGTCATCGTCGACCTTTTCAATATATCCATGTTGTAGTTGATCCGCGATTATTGAATTGTAAACCGGGATAATTTCCTTGGGTAGTTTCGCTATCATATTCCTGGTGCGTACGTTTGCCGCTTGAAAATTGGTTTGCGATTTTGCGATGTATCTGCCGTCTTCTGTGCTGAGATTGTGATCAATGTATTGATTATATTGTTCACTTTGAGCAATTTTCAGCTCATTTGCCTGTATTTTGTCGCGAACTCCAACTGACTCTAAATCCCAAAATGTTGTGACGAGTTTGTCAAGTTCCGTATCGGGTGCTTTCACGGTTGATATGTGAAATGTTTGGACATTGTGAGCTCTCCTCCTAGTTGATGGGATAGGCCCCGAAAGCAAATATCCAAAGGCTGAATGGATTGCTATGGGACTCGATTCACGGATTATATGCGAGCTGACATAATCCCAATAGTGGTCTGCACCAATCAGAACGTCGATGTCCATGTGTGTACCGCTGGAGAGGGGGTGCGCCAGTTCGAGATTGCGTAAATGTTTGATGTTACGCAAGTCGTGGGTGAGGTAGTTATCCAAATTGTCCGAGATCTCGTCGACTACCAACAGGTTTATTGCGCTTTTGAAACCGTCTCTTTGCAGGAGGTTGACTGTTGTCCGAGGTACTGTTTTGTAACCGGTTCGAGGATTGGCGAAACATTTTAAATTGAGTGTTTCCCAAAACTTGGGGTTTGCCTGTATCGAAGTGGCGAACTTGCTGGTTATAAAACTTCGATCTGCTCCGTTGTCGAATAGAACAGTAGCGATCTTGGATCCACCATCGCCAAATACGGTGACTCTTGCCGTTTTAAGTAGAACGCGTGGTGGTGGCGCCGGGTCGACGTTTGATCGTTCTCCGAGAGATGATCGGCGTTGAGTAAAGTTTGAAGCATGAGCGAAATGAACACGCGGCGCGTCGGGTTTGGTTTGAGGTGCATCCGTTGAAGTAGTCGAATGAATCGATGTGTGGTGCTTGGCTTTGCATAAGCGACACGAGAAATGCGATCGACAATCGCGTGATAAGTGCTGTCCTAGACAGTTGAAACAAAGTTTGTTATCTTGAATAAATTTCACTCTGTCTGCACGAGTTGCAATAGTGGGACAGTCAGTAGTATAATGTCTGCCCCTACAATATGAACAGTGAGGTTGCTTGCGTTGTGGTTTTCGTATAATTTTGTTTGAAGTGTGCGTTTTGTTTTGATAGTTGACGTGTGTTCCAGCTCCTTGATTTGGTTGCGAATACTGGCTGTTAGTGTTGAACGCAGAAATAGTAGATGGGTACGGTTTACTGTCAATTCTGTCTGCGATTTCCATGACTTTGATTTTCTTGGAGCATATGTTTACTGAGTGATGATAATGTCCAGTCTTCATCGGTAGAATTGGATCTTGCTAGTTGTTGTTGAAATGCAACAGATAATCTGGACAGCAACATAGGAATCAACAATCCCTCATATTCGGTTTCGTTTTTGCCGAGTGCGGTGAGTGCTCGAACTGAGACGTCTATGTTGTCGTGGAACTCTCGTAGAGCTGTAGCATTGTATTCGGGTAGCGGTTGAGTATATAACGCTTTCATGTGCGCGCTTATAACTGACTGAGTACGACCATAGCGCTTCTCTAACAGTTAGTACGCCTTTTTGTAATTGGCGTCCGACATTTGAAATCCTTCGATCAGTTTTCTCGCACCATCTCTGACTAGCGATCGAAGATATGTGAACTTCTGAGTCTCAGTAATTGTGCTGTTTGAATCGATAGTATTCTTGAAACTGTCATTGAACTCGCTCCAAGTAAGCGGGTCGCCATGAAACGGTGTTATTTTTAGGCGCGGTTGGTTGAACATTGTGTTGAGATGGGCCCCGTTGAGTTGTCCGGGATGGCGGATTTGGAGTTTGAACTTGAGGCACCGCTGGGTCGTTCTTTGAGAAAAATAATGTGATTCGAGCAACACGATTGAGAGCGTTTATCTCGTACTGGTCCGTTTCGGAAAATTCCTGGTCTGTTACATCGACAGTGTCCGTGATATTGGCATCAGCGGTGACTAGTGCGTCCAGTCGTGTATCGACGGCCATTTTCCTGGTAGCGATGTCTTGATAAGCGATAGCCTTGTTTGGCGCTGCATCGTAATTAGTTAACGACTCTTCGAGGGGTTGTAAAACTGCTTCTAATTTGGCCCTTGCCCTGTCTCTTGTCTTGATTAAAGTTTGTAATTTGGGTGGCATGTTGAAAACTTAAAGTATTACTCTCAATAGTTGAAGATCTCTTGATTGTACAGGTTGGAAGTTCGTTGTTCTAATTGAAGAACACGTGTTGATTCAATTTCGCGGTCTTTCCGGAGCGGTCTCTTGCAATGTTGAGTGGTGATTCTTGGTCATGTAATAGCGAAATATTGAGTGAATCTTGATGTCCTGTAGAAATATATCCTGGTCTCGGCACCAGTTTGTGGCTGTGGGAATTCGGTTCGAATAAATCGCCACGTTTAATAAATCTCCACAGAACATACAGCAGACTCAAATGATCGAGTTCAAAAGAAAGTCGTAATGACTTCTTTATTCATGGGTAGAACGCTGAACATTTCAACCAGTAATTACATCAGTAGTACAAACTTCTGCATTAAAACTGTGAGTGCCCTTAATGAGGGGCAAATAGGTGAATAACTTGAAAAACTATGAACTAAATTAAAATGTGGACTCCATTGATGACCGCCATATCCATCGAGAGTAGGAATCATGGGTAACACTGCATAATAATTAGCATGTTTGAGGTCGATTCCATTGCTCATAGGGGGTAACTCTTAATGTACGAACACATGTAAACGATCTACAGTGAAATAATAGGGTAATTTCCTCAGTTATAGGGAAATATGAATAAACTAGAATAATCTAAACTGTTTATAAAGATAAAACTAGATGAGTAAATCTATCTAAAAGTAGAAATGTATTGATACATATTCTTATGCATTAAATTAATTAACAAACACATGTTGACCTGTGCCCCAACAAACTGTTCCAAGTTAACCCTCTTTCAAAGGTGCACAATGAGATGACTGATTTGAATAAAAGTAAACTACATAATGAAAATATAATATTGAGTTATTACACTTATCTAATTAACATATTTCAGAGAGCATATTAATAACATTTGGTTCTCACGATCAGCGGGATAAATGTTTCAAGATAATGGCTTTAAAAATAAATGTTATAAATGTTAAAAGTGACACAAAATAAAATACACAAAAATTCCCATACAGAGCAAAAATGAGAGTAATGTAAATGCTGGTATTATTACTGACAAAAAATAAGGATATCAGTAATTACATAAATATTAATATTCATGTTCCTCAATTGGTGTACATGTACTGTGTTACTCTCAAGGCCTATAATCTAATGAATAAATTGTACAAGTTACTAAATAGTACAGCAATATATCTAAGCAAAAAAATTGTGGGAAAATTTGGTGACATAAATGATTAATATTACATAATAAAACTATTATATCAAGTTACTTCGGTAATTAATACATTTTGGAGAACACATTACTAACATTCTGTGCACCTATTTTTATTTCTAATAAATATTTAATTTTAGCCAAATTTTTACCCTTATCTTGATAATTATATAAACTAATCGTAACAAAATTAAAATTTGTGGACATTTTATAATGCTGGATAAGAATCCAAGTTTTAAAAATAAAATGATGAAACTTTATCCGTATTGCCTTTTAAAAGGGTCATGAGCTACAAGTGATATGTTTTTTAATTCAGTAAGTTTTTGCTATAAAATCTGTTATCAGAATAACAAGAGTTGATTGGTATGAAAACATAACAGATAAATGGATGAATTACTCAAAAAGAATGCTAAAACATTTCTTTAATTGAAATCTACAAAAATGTACATCAATGCTAATTGTTACGTATTAAGTTGCAATTACAGTTAGCAATTAATGTTCAGTTATGAGAATAATAAACTAATTTAATTACTGTCCCTTCAGTTTAAAACATGCATTAGTTTGTATTAAACTTCAATAATTGTATGAGATATGAACACAAATCAAATTGGTTAATATTTGATATTGTAATCTTCATCTCATAAAAGGTGGGGGGGGGGAACATTTTAGATGGCCAGACAAAATTGACCTCAGACACAAACGATGGGCCACAAAAAAATACAGTATATCCTGAAAGAGAATCATCCATCCCAAGAAAATTTTAAATTGACAGTTCCTTAGAATAAATCAAAAAGACAAATGTTTGATTCTTAAAGTTTTATCACAGAGAGAAACATAATCAATCAGTTGAGACATCTGCAATTATACATTTATTGGAAGTGAAATGTTTGGTTTCTCACCCAGGTGAGACATACAGAAGCTTTTGAATAAACACCCTCAACTACAATATCTTCATATCATGTTTAGAGATAAACCACATTCTACTGATATCAAGGTGGTGGGAGGGGGTATTCAGGTTTAATTACAGTCTATCTACTAATACTGTACAATATTATGCAGAGTAAACAAACAAACTAAACCTATATGTAGTGAATGCAATTTATGTAGTTTCACAGAATAATGGAGACATTTTTTTGAAAATCCAATGCATTTTTGCTAAATTAAAACATTGATCTGCATTCCAACAGTGAATTTTATATTTCATGCATTGGATCAATTTCAAAACCCATACACATTAATTTTAGCTAATATCAAATATTGGGAAATGTATGTTCATTGTTAGATAACTTTCCATTTTTCTCTTGACCAAGAAATATAATTGTGAGAATAGTATCTGTATTCATCAACCACAGACAAAATATATCCAGGAATTTTGATAGATTGAATTATATTTGTGTTGGTATATAGTATAGGATGAATCTTACCAGAATTACTCTAAAGGTAACACACAAGGGATTTTTTTAAACAAGGGAACAGGGGCGCAGCGTCTCATGCCATGGCCATGCGCCCCTTACCCCAAGTAGCAGATCCTCTGGCATCCATAAAATTCTGATTGACCAGGGATCACATGTGGCCACAGTCTCAACTGTGACTGTCTG